GCGCATCGCGCAAGAAAAATAGCAAAGGACACGACGCCGCGTGCTGCTAAAAGTAGCTCGAGCGCAATGGTCGACCAACCTCCGCCACGACACAGATTTTGCCCCGATTGGAAGCTGGTTCGTCGGTTGTATGTTCTCAACAAGGCTAAGAGCCTTTGACTAAGAGCTGTGTGCGTGTCATTGAGCCATCGCGCTGAATAAAACCCAGTGAATGTGAACCCAATCAGCGGTCAACACAAGCCCTTGACCCAATCAACGCCATCTTAGCGTCGGTCGCCAACCTGCACGTCCTGTAGCCACCCAACGTTAGTTAGTTTGACAATTTATGGCCTCCTACCTTGCTTTTTAGGCTGATGAAATGCAATGAACCAGTCGATGCGAAGACACTTGCGGGGAGAGGGGCTTGTTGGTTGGGTGTTGCTGAGCTCTCAGTGCGTTGAGTTTTTTATATCGGCATCGCAAGGTCCGTCTCGAGTTGACGAAAATAATTTTCCCGCGTGGTAGATGGTTGTCAATCTAATGTGTACCAAGTAGCTTGAGGTGCAAGGTCTGGGTCACCAGCTCGACGACTGTGCCATGGTTCAAGGACGGCCTCGCATTTCGTTGCACCAAGAGCCGGTCTGGCTTGGTGCGCTTCGACGACGACGAAGAAGCCACGGTGGCCACCAAGGGGTCGACCTCTTTCGACATGTACGCGCGCCGAAAATGCCGGAGCAATCTCTCATTGTGCTGTTGCATCGTTTGTATCCGGATGGTGACGTGGCACTCTCCCACCAATCTTGAACAGGCAAAACTAGCAATCAATGGCATTGTTATCACCAAGTCGTTGCTGGCACATTCCAGTCGTATCGATTAACCCACAAGTACTCTAAATCATGTGCCCCCACCCTGTGAGCGTTTGCGGTGCATGGCGCCGTGCAGCGACAAAAGACTATTGAAATCGATTTGGTAAAAGCGTCTTGTAGGAAAGCGACAGGGGCGATGTCAAAGCTTATGAGCAATGAGCTTTTGTACGATGAGCGTGCAAGTTTAAACCGCAATCACTTTCATATCGACGAGTGCCATCGACAACAAAACCATGCACCGCTTCAACGCCAACCACCTCCAAGACGTCGCCGCCGCCCGCACTGCGGCCGCCGACGCCAAGTTCCAAGCCGAATTCCCGCACCTCCACCGCGCCGAGGTGCGCCGCAAAGCCAAGATTGCGCTCGCTGCGCCCACGCGTGCCCCGGCCACGATGCGTGTTCCTGCCAAACCAACGACAACGCCGGTTGCTGGAAAGCGTACAAAAACACCCGTCCAGCCGACGCCATCGATCAAATCGACGCTTCCGGTCAAGCCAGTGCCTCGCTCGGCAGCGCGCGCACCCAAGGTTCTCGCACCTGCAACGACCAGCACGGCGGAACCGTCTTCGCCGGCGATGCACCCTTCGCCTGCGCTCATCAAACCAACTCGCTCGTCACTGGTGTCATCGCGCCCCGTGGCACCAGCTCGCCCCGTAGCACCAACACACGAACCGCCTGCTGCGGTGGCGACCACGGAGGCACCGGTCGTCGCCTGCAGCTGCCAGCCCGTGATTGTTGCGCTAGAAGACGAGAACAGTCGTCTCAAAGAAGAGCTTCGGGTCGCTCACATCGCTTTGGCTGAGTATGCAAGCAAGGTGCAGCATCTTGAGGCGGCTTTGCGCGTGTCGGCTCCCATCGATACGACGATGCCACCGGCGGCTGCGGTTTCCATCGCTCCAGACGCCAAGCTACTGGCTTTTCCCAGTGAGGGCACGGCTCCCGACAGCGCTCCAGCGATAATGTTTCCAACGGGTGCTTTACTCGACCCGCCCGCGGCCAACGCCAACGTCGAGCCATGCAGCAGTGCAGCCGCAACGAGGCGTCTTTGCCCGCGGTATCACGGTCGCCGGCACGCCTCGAAGCGAGCCACGCCGGCCTCGCCAACCTTGGCAACACATATTACATGAATGCCACTCTGCAGTGCCTAGCGCACACGCCGCCACTGGTCGACGCGCTGCTGTCGGAGCAGTGCGAGTCCACCACGGTCAATGCTCTCACACGCGTGGTCTCTGGCATCCTTGCAAACGACGCTGCTTCGTACCACAGCGACCAAAAAGCCTTGGTACCACCGTTCCACTCGCCCACGACGCAGCAAGATGCGAGCGACTACCTCGCGTGGCTCGTCTCGGATCTTGAAGTCGCTTCAACAATTCCCGAGGATGTTTTCGGCTCGTACTGACAGCGACGAGCACCTGTCCCCACTGCGGCCTCGAGTCTGAGATGTCAGATGCCTACCGGGACATTTCGATCGCTGAAGAGACGACCTCGGTCGCTGCTGGTCTCGCGACGTTCATGACGAAAACACTCACGCGGACATGCGCCAGCTGCCTCATCTTTGGCACCACCAAGCAGCACTGGACGATACTCCTCGCGCCGCCCGTGCTCATCCTCACGCTCAGCGCAACCAACTACAACGTACAGGACGCCAGTCGTGTGGTCGTGAACGAGATATTGGCGCTGGGTGCAACGACCTACCGCCTTGTGGGTCTGGTTGGTCACCGCGGTACCTCGGTCCTCGGTGGCCACTACGTCGCATATGTGCGCCGGTCAAGCGTCTGGCTTTGTATGAACGACGCCCTTGTCTCGGTCGTGTCGGCTCGCAAAGTCTTTGCCCAGCGCGCCTACGTCCTCTTCTACGAACGCCTTGCCGACGACTCGTGAACCAAGGTTCCATCGAGTCCCATCCACCAGTTTGAGCCTCCGCACAGCGTCATGGACGAATAGCGTCCATACGCAAACCGTACAATATGGCTAATTGGACGAAGAACGTCCATCCTAAGATATCTAAAAAACCACAAAACTTATGGTTGCCCATTGATCTTTTATAGTGCGTATCATTTCCATAACAATATCATATCTGAAGGGTATCCATATCGAAAGACTTGAACTTGGAGTTTTGTCGACATTTGCCGAATCTTGATGACGTCGCAGCCACCGCCCATCCCGCTGGACGACGCCGTCCGCCAGGTCCAGACCTTCTGGAACAACTTCTCCGAGACGTACACGGCTACGGCCAACAAGCGCATGACGATCCAGGGCTCCAGCTCTCTGCACGCGCACTTGGAGCTCGACGACGCCACGAGCGTCCTTGAGATCGGCGCCGGCGCTGGCATCGGTACCATGGACATGCTCTCGCGCCTCTCGACGGAGCGCGAGACGCGTGTCTTGTCGACGGACCTTTCACCCGAGATGCTGCAGCGGCTTGAGGCGCGCATTGCGCCCTTCCACGGCAAGGCCAAGGTCGACGTGGCGTTGGCCAACGGTACGACCTGCTTCCTGCTCCTCGCTATCGCTTCACGCCATATGTGCCATAGCGCAAGAGCTCCAGGGCTTGGCCGATGCGTCGTTTGATCGGTACATTGCGAGCCTCGTCTTGCAGCTGACGCCAGACCCGGACGCAATGCTCCGTGAAGCCTACCGCGTGCTCATGCCAAAGGGTCTTGCCGGGTTTGTCATTTGGGGCAACCCGGAGCACAGTGGCCTCTTTACGATCCCGAGCATGATGGAGAAGGAGCTCGACATTGGCAACCGCGGCGCCCAGCATGGCAACTTTGCGCTCGGTTTGAAGCTGGACGAGCTCAAGGCCAAGATGCGGAAGCTCGGTTTTAGCAGTGTCGTCTCGTGGCCCTTCTTGTGCATTTCGGAAAAGTGGAGCGGCGAGCGCAACGCCGAGTACCACAACCAAATGTACCCGCTCTCGCCCGACCAATTTCCTGATGACGCCGCTCGCCTCGCAGCGCAGTGCCAGCGCTTTGAGACGATGACGCGCCTCTCCAACGAGTGGCTTGCGACCAAGGGCATGCCCATCGGTCTCGAAGTGTACCTCATTATTGCGCGCAAGTAGTACTTCGCAGTAGCAGCAATGATACCTTCTTTGTTTCTTTGGTTGTCGACGGCTCGTGATACAGGTGGCAACTACATATGGCGTCCACGGTGTGAGGACAGATGTCGGTACATGTTGATGTGACGTATATGTCCGTTCTACACGACCAACGACAAGTGCATCAGAGATTAGGGTAGCGTGCAAGCAAGCAAGGCAGTTCTGGGTCGACGAGGTAGCATTCCTAGCAACAAGAGACTTGTATTTCGTTGCTCGTCTTTTGTGCTGTAGTAGGATGGGCCATAAGCGAGGTTAGAGCCCTTTGTTGTAGGTGGCGAGACGCACGGGGTCGCCCGAGACGCGACGCGCGCTTTGCAATTCGGGCTCGAGGTAGCCGACCGACACTTGCGCCGACTGGCGAAAGAGACCAAACGTCAATGGCACGGCGCACTGGATCGCGACGGCCACCATGGCGAGCGTCGTGGGCAGGCGCAGGCGCGGCCGACGGGCCCAAAAGTCGACCTTGGTTTCGAGCATCCGCATGGCCAAAGGCGGGAGAATCAAAATGGGCGCGGCCGCAAAGATGCGCCCGCCAATGCACGCAGCGACGGCAAAGAGCCCCGCGCGCTTGCTCGTGCCAATCCAGTCACCGTCTTCGTTGTACACGTTGACACCTACAGTAGGTCCCATCGTGCCGAAATGCAATGGCTTTGAAACACTGCACCGCGAAGGAACTCAGATTGACGCATAACGGTGAGGTTGAGGACGTCGGCGGCAGCGACGGCGGCGAACGGCGCCATGCGCAGTAGGACGGGATGGCCTTTGGCCTTGGCCCACGAGCGCACGCCGAGCTAAAGGACGCTACGACGCCTGTTGTGTGATCGACGAGCGTACCGACGCGCCGACAGAGCTGGCGGTGGCGGCGAGGTAGGCAGCGATGCGTTGGTTTGTCGTGTCTTCGTTCGTCGCATTGCGGTTGGCGTAGTAGTGCAGGGCATTGTACGTTTGGTTGAGCCTAAGATACCGGTATGCTGATGCAGATCCAAACCAATCAACCTACCACTGCCAAAAGACGGTCGAGCGCGCCGTCGAGGCTAGAATCATGCCACAGTCGAGGCCGAGGTTCATGGGCACGATCATCGACACACGGAGGGGCAGCAATACCGGCGCGCCTAAGCTTCATGGTGAAGAGAAGCGACATGAAAGAGCATACCTGTGTCTGGGTGGAGCACTGCGCGCGTGAGCTTGAGCGCCTCTTGGTACGCAGCCTCACTGGTCGATGCGCCACGTCCTGCGCAAGCAACATGAGCGTACACTCGGCGAAGGGCAATGCAGGTTTACGTCGCGTGTCCTCGACGAGGCGCCTAGCAGCGTCGACGGCCTCGGCGGATGCAAAGGCGCAGCGAACGTCCAGCATATCCCACGTCTTCTTCACACGCTGGCGGTACGTGGCTTCGTCCGGGTCGGCAAAGAACTGCCGCTGCTGACTGCTGCTCCCGCTGCCTCCTGGTGCCATGCGATTTGCGATCTTCGTTGATGTGCCGGATACCGTTGTCGTCCGGATATCCGGGCGACTTGAAGCGCGCCGCCAAGTGCGTCACGCCCTCGACTGTAATTTCCGGGAAATTCAATGAAATACCGTACATTCAGAACTGGCAACGAGAGATCCTCCCCATGGATCCTCCCACGGTTGCTTCGTCACACTTCACAATCAGCTTAAGTAGTGGTGGCGGATGAATAAACTCATGCAGAGCCTACTATTCGTCAACGGCTGGGTCAAAGCTTTCTGCAACCAACGACAATACTGCCAAGTCTCGCCTGCAGAAAAGTGAACGTTGAAGCAGTGTCATTGAAGCGCGGCTCGTTGCGGGTCGCATGCAATATTTACGGCCACGCTGGTGTCTGTTTGGGACTCCCACTTGTACGCGCAACTCTCCTATTTAGTGGCATTTGGATCGGAATTTCCGCCAAACGTCGCCTTTTAATCCGGTTCCAACGGCCGCTGCAACGCACGTCGACGAGTCGACGAATGCGATGAGGGTGCTGCTCGCCTGGCAACGGCAGCACCTGCGATGGTACAGGCTCCAAGGTCCCAGCCCCCTCACGCTTGGCGTCATCGCGAGGTGTTATTTTTAAATTGCCGTAAAATAATATATGGCCCAGCCATAGGAACCTTGGGGTTTGTATATGGATAAAAAAACGCTCCAGTCACCACCTGGCGGGGAGATCGCAATTTGCAGCGATGGCCGACGCATGGGACCCGACGCCGGCCGAGAAGGTGTACACGTGGACGCTCATCGTGATGTGTCTGAGCCTCATGCTCTTCCTCCTCGTGAAGCTCGGGCATGGCTTCCGCAACAAGAGCAAGAAGCTGTCGTGGGCCACATGCTTTGACTGCATTTGCCTCCTCTGGACCATCGTCCGCGTCAGCTTTTGGATGTCGCTCGAGCTCCGCGACCACATGACGTACCTCGAGCTCTACCTCCTGTACTGGTTCCCGACGCCGATCCAGTTTGCCAACTTTGCGCTCCTTGTGCTCTTCTACATCCAGGTCATCACTGGCTCGGCATGGCACTCGACGTGGCGCAACGTGTGCGTGCCTTTGTACCTCTTTATGACGCTCTGCATGGCCGCGTTCACTGCGATCTGGGCCTTTACGTCCAACTCGAGCCTCGAAGACGCGTTCAAGTACGGCGACCAGTACGACCAGGAGATGTACAAGATCTCGGCGGTCAAGACGCAGCTCGAGTACTCGTCGATCTCATTCTTCCTCCTCTCGTTCCTCTTTGCCTTCTTTGGGTGGAAGCTCGCGCATGTGCGCGACTCGACGCGCCACCGCCTCCTCATCTCCAAGCCACGGGTATACATGATGCACGGTGTTCCTTGCCTCATGCATCGTAGAGCGTTGCGATCTTCAACTCGCTCCTCTTCGTCATCTTCTTTACGCGCTCGATGCGGGATCTCGCAACGTCCCAGAACTGGCTGCGCTTTAGCGTCCTCAATCCCGTCGACCAGTTTGGCCAGATCACGAGCTTTTCGTATTTCATTCTGTTTGTCGTGTGGGACTTCCTGCCTACCGTGCTGCTGCTGCTCCTCGTCTCGACCGAAGCAGGCGGCGTCGGCCGTACGCGCCACGTGCTGTCTCTAAGGTCTCATGGCGCTTGGGTAGCGCCGCGCCACAACAAGGCCCACGACCGGCAACTACCAGACTTTGGCATCTTCCAGGTCATCAAGACGGGCCATGTGGCCGAACGCGTTTCGTCCGAGACGTCGCACCTCGCGGCGAGCCCGAAGCGAGAGTACGGCGCCCGCACAACGCCCATCAACGTAGCCGACCAGCAAAAGTAAAGACTCTCCATGTATACACTGGCTAACACGACTGGTGTAGGTCGCGCTGGACACGGGGTGGCGACTTGTTTCAGGACCCACTGCGGTACGACTCGGACGACGGGAATGGCGCGACGCCCACGTACGTCAACAGCCTGAACAGCGAGAGCTCTCTCTCGGCCACGAGCTCGTACGACCGCGCGTCGAGCTACACGCCGCTATAATTTTAAAACCAGTACAAACCGCGAGACGACCTGTGCAAATAAGCCATGGCGTTCGTTGCCACAACGTCGACATGGTCTTATAGTCTTATACCATGGTTGAGGGTCCGAAGACAAAGTCTTATACGGGCAGAAAGACCGGGGTCTAGTGCAATTGGTCTTATCGAGCAACATGAAGGCTGGGCTGTAGCCTGCGGCGAAGCTGGCAGGACGGCACAAAGTTATAGGACAAGCTATAGCTTTCCTTTGTGGGTGTTTGATTCAAATAGCCGGGAGCGCCGGATAAAGATGTGCTGCGGTTGTTGAAGGCGCACGAGATTGGCTTGTTTTGGCCAATGACGACAGCCCCATCAGTCTTCCACAATGGCACGGGGAGAGAGCGCGCCGCTCGTGGCGCCGTCGACGCCCAAAGACGAGTTCCGTCATCTCTTGCTCCTCGCGCTGCCTCTGGTACGCATCCTTGCATGTATGTGCCGTCATGAGACTCGACAGATCGTCTCGCAAGTGCTCGAGTACCTGCCCAACGTCGTCAACGGCATGCTTACGGGGCATCTGGGTGCGTCAGCAGCGTTTGGCTACAGGTCGACTCAATGTCACTGCAGACACGACCAGTGCGAGCGAAGCGCGGCTGCTCCTTTCGGCGAACGGCCTCAGCGGTCTCTACTTTACTGTGTTCATTTACAGCGCCGCCATCGGCGTCGGCACGGCGCTTGACGGCCTCTGCGCACAAGCCTACGGCAAAGGCGCCATCGACGAGATTGGCGTCCTGCTTCAAACGGCCTGCATGGCGTCGTCGGCGCTCGTGTTGCCGCTCATTGCACTCTGCATGTTTTCCAGCCATCTTTTGCTCGCCTTGGGCCAGCCCCTCGATGTACACGCTGATCCATAGAGATGTGCTTTGCCTCTATGTATGTAGGTGGCGCTGGCGACGCAAGCGTACACGCGTCTCATGGCCATCGCGATTCCCTTTGTCTTTGGCTACGAGATCCTCAAGCGCATCCTGCAGGGCCAGAATGCTGTTTTGCCGATTGCCTCTGCCTTTTTCGGGGCCAATATTGTCAACGGCGTCGTGTCCTACGGCTTGCTCTACCATACGTCGATGGTTGGCCGGGCTCTTCTTTTCACGAGGCGTCAGCGCCAGTTAGGGCTACACGGGGTGTGCACTCGCGTTTCCTTGCATGTATGCGGCGGGCGGCGCGCTCTTGTACCCCAAGGTTCTCATCCTGTATCTTTGCTTGCGATCGAACGATCTTGTGTAGGTCGCGCAGCTGCAGCATTTGCAAGAGAGTACGTGGTGCTGGCAAAGTGCGTGGCAGCGCATGCCTCTCTTCCTTCTCCGGAGGTAATTCTGGTGCAATTCTACAGGCGAAAGCGGAGCCATATTTCCTTGCTGTAGCTTTTACGGCTGGGCGATGTTTGTGTTTGAGCTTGCGGGCGTCTCGATCTCGTCGTTCTTGGCCGGTGGGCTCCCGAATGCGACAGCCGCGATCACGGCCACGTCCATCTACATGGGGTTTCGCATGATCTTTTCCATGGTGTACCTCGGTCTTGGTATCGCCGTGTACGTCCGATGACCTAGAGTACACTCTCTAATCGTCACGTAGCTCGATTCGGGTCGGAAACGCGCTTGGTGCTCATCAACCACAGCGCGCCAAGACGGCGGCGTGGCAAACGCTCTACATGAGCGTCGTCTGGGCCATCCTCTCAGGGCTCGCCATGGTTCTTGTCGGGGGCTACTACGCCGAGCTCTACACGCATGACGCTGCTGTCTTGAGGTATTTGCCTCCAGCTCATATTGCGTGTTGCATGAGCCATTCGATGCTAGTCTTGTGAACGAGCTCTTGTGGGCGACGGCGCCACTGCAAGGAACGATGGCGATCTGGGGCGTCGTGCAAGGGGTCTTTCGAGGCAGCGGTACGGGACTCCTTGTGCTCGAGGATGCAACTCGATCGGACGGGTTGTAGGCACGCCGCACGAAGGCGCGACGCTCAACTTGATTGGTTTCTTCTTGCTTGGCCTTCCGCTCGGCTATGTGCTGGCGTTCCATGGTGGCTTTGGCGTGCTCGGTCTCTGGCTCGGCGTCTACGCCGGCTTTGGCGTCTGTGCGGCCTACGGCCTCTACTGGCTCATTACGGTGCAGTGGGAAAGCTTGGTGGCCAAGGTTGACGACACGCTCGGTGTCTAAGGGAGATGCCTGAGAGAGTCCACTGGAAGCATGACCAGGTTCAACAAGTTGAAGTGTTGTATGCGCTGTTGAAAGCTGGTGTCGCAGCATGTCCCTCCCGTTTGGCAACGACGCTCGCTTATCGCACAGTGCATCTGGGGACTTTGGACTAATTGTCGACACGGCATTCTCTGCTGGGCTACTAGTACTCGATCGGAGGTGTCATCACCAATGGTCTGTTGCCTGGGCAGTGCTGTGAGTGTTCAGGGTGATCACGGTCTCGAATGTGATTAGGATGTCTTCGCACAACTTTATAGTCCAAGCACGGTCTGGTGTCGAGCAGCGCACTTAGATGTGGTGCGAGGACTGAGCAAAGCTGAAGCAGCTACCGTAGAAGGCGCAAACCATCTGATTTGCCATTACACACGGCAATCTGGTCATTCCAATCTGAGCACGCATCCATTGCGGTCATCATCATTCGCCCGCTTGCATCGTCTCGAGCGCACCGATCCGCCGTGATGACCAAGAGCTTCGAGACAGACCCGCTCGTAGCGCCTACTGGCGGCGCTAGCAACGAGCTCCGCGTGATTCTCGCGCTCTCCGGACCTCTGGTGCGCACCTCTCGCCTTGTCCTTGCGTCTCATGGCGGCGTAGGTTGCGATTCAGCTGCTCGAAGTACTCCCAAGCTCCGTCAACGGCATGCTCACGGGCCACCTCGGTACGCCAACATACCTGTCTACGCGCCGTTCGATCATGGTTTTGTTACGTCTCTAGCGACGCAAGACTCGGAGTCGCAGCTTTTCCTGGCCGCGATTGGCCTCGGTGGGCTCTTCTTTACAGTGTTTGTCTACAGTGTTGCGATTGGTGTGAGCACGGCCATGGACGCGCTCTGCTCGCAAGCGTACGGCAAAGGGTCGCTCCACGAGCTCGGGTATATCTTCCAAACGGGTCTGCTCTGCGCGAGCATGTTGTACCTACCGCTGTCGCTGCTCTGCACCTTCTCAGCCGGGATTCTCCAGTACCTCGGCCAGTCGTACGAGGTATTTCGAGCACTTTTTGTATATATATTTTAACAATGAGGGTAGATTGCGCTGGCAGCGCAACACCTCACGCGCTACATGGTGCTCGGCATTCCGTTTGTCTTTGGCTACGAATTCCTCAAGCGCGTGCTCCAAGGGCAAACGATTTTGTACCCGATTTTGGCTGCAATTACGCTTGCCAATGTTGTCAACGGTCTCGTGTCGTACACGCTCATGTACCACACGCCCTTGGTATTCCACTTGTTCTACTTTTGTTTTGGACGATTACGTTTTTGGGGATTAGGGTTACGCGGGCTCGGCGTTCTCCGCGGCCTTTCTCAACGCCGCAGGCTGCGCCGTCATGTTGCACAAGGTGAGACAGCTCGAGCCATGGCACTCGCACTTTGAGTGGAGCTGGACCGAGGCCTGGCGCCGACTACCGCACTTTGCGTCCCTGAGGTATTCATATCGACGCGAAATTGTTCTCGATCAAGTCGTTTGTCTAGTGCCAACGGGGTCGGGATGGTGCTCTTTGAGCTTGTGGGCATGGCGGTTCCTTCCTTTCTGGCGGGCCGACTGCCGTCGCCGGCGGTGGCGATGAGCGCCAACACCATCTACATGGCCTTTCGCTACCTCTTTACCATGGTGTACCTTGGTATTAGCTTTGCAGCGTACGTCTGCAGTCATTTGTGCTCGCGTGCTCAATTGCTGCTGACTGCACGTAGCGGAATTCGTGTCGGCAACGCCCTTGGACGGGGCGATGCGGTCTCGGCCAAGAACGCCGCCACGTACAGCATCCAGCTCTCTGTCGCGTGGGCGCTGGTGGCGACGGTCGCCATGATGGGTCTCGGACCCTATTACGCGCTCGGCTACACGTCCGACAAGGCCATTCTGAGGTGCGATGGCCTTTGATAGCGACGCTCACGACGACTTGGTTAGCACGGCGAACGATCTCTTTTGGTACACGGGGCCAGCACAGATGGCGATTGGCATTTGGGGAACCGTCCAAGGCCTCTTTCGCGGCATGGGTACGCACGACCGAAGAACATGACGCGCGGATGTCACTGCGTTTCATTTAGGGCACCCGCACCAAGGAGCGATCCTCAACTTTATTGGGTTCGTGCTTGTCGGCATTCCGCTCGGCTATTACCTTGGTTTTGTGTGCGGCTGGGGTGTCGTTGGGCTTTGGCTCGGCTGCTACACGGGCTTTACGCTCTGTGCGATCTACGGTCTCTACTGGTTCTGCACTGTCGACTGGGAGCGCATGGTGCATGAGGTCGAGAGCACCTTTCACCAAACGGCAACGGCCGACGCCTACTAACGCGAAACGAAATAGACTCGAGTGTCTTTGCCGACTAGCTACCGAGATGAACACGAGGTGGCATGAGACTCTTCGTGATATGCAAAAAGAGGCGGCCGGGGGAAACAAGCGTTGAGTTCTGGAGAGAAGCCCTGTCTGCCCGATGGACTGCACGGAAGCCGTACGCCCCACACGTAGTATTTCCTGTACAATTGCGCCGGTGATGAACCAAAATCGACTGTTTGATTCGAGTTAACGTCGCGACATTGATTGGTGAGCGCTCTACGGGCGGAGGCCGCAACAAATCTGCTCGGGGTGCCAGAAGCAGTTCTGGCAAATCTCTTCGTTGCCGTTGCCACGCAAGGCCGGGTTGGCGCCGCCGCCTTGGACTGCGTCGGACTCGGCAGCGAGGGTCGCGCAGGCAAACGCGGCGATGGCGAGGAGCAAGAAGCGGAACTGCATGGTTGTCGTGGGGGGTACAAGCAAATTGAATTGTGAGCGCTGGGAACAGCAATGGGCTTGAGTAGCGCGCAGGAAAGGCGGCAGTGCACACTGGTACACGTGCTGCTGCAAAGTATCTCGGCACACCGGACGCCATGGCGTGCTGCGACGAAACAGATCCGGCACCCATCGCCAACTGGCGCGTACTCTGTCTGCACTCGACCCGCCGACCTCGAATTCGCTCACCTCGTTCCTCACGTAGTCCCGAGCCGCGACCACACGCCCTCCGCTTGACGTACTGGCCATGCATTAGGAAGTCCGCCATCTTCATCTTTTTTATTGCATGTTATATAGTCATTTCAACAACAATACGATATGTACTCGGCACGTCTCGTCGAATGAATTCAACCCACCAGGATGGATCTTCCATCCCAGTGGCACTGAGCTCTCGCTCGTAAGCCTCCACGTCCTTTCGCCACCCAACGTTAACACCACTAGGTTGATGCATGCTTGTACAGTATATATACTATCTACCACATGCCTAGTTGAGCTAAATGGAATGCACAGATCCGATTGAAGATGCACTGGGGGTTCCAAGGACCTGTTGTTTTCGGCATCTTGAATATGGAGCGCCGAAAATAAATTTTCATGGGCGGCATATGTTTGCCGATTTTACCAATTGGCTTGAAGATGCAAGGTCTCGGTCGCCGGCATCTGAGCTCGACGGCCGCACCGTGGTTCAAGGATGGCCTCGCCTTTAGTTGCACCAAATGCGGCAACTGCTGCTCTGGTCCGTCTGGCTCAGTGCGCTTCAACGACGACGAAGCTGCCACGATGGCTGCCAAGGTCGGCGAGACGCTCCCGGCCTTTCTCGACAAGTACGCGCGCCGACAAGGCCGCGGCAACCTCTCGTTCTACCAGCTCAAGGAAGTGCGCAAGAACAAGGACGACGGCTTCGACTGCATCTTCCTCGACCGCAAAAAGATTCGCGGCAAGGCCGTCTGCAGCCTCTACGACGCGCGGCCGACGCAGTGCAGGACGTGGCCCTTCTGGCCCGAGACGCTCGAGTCCCGAGCGACGTGGGAAAAGACAAAGGACTCGTGCCCGGGTATCAACAAGGGCACAAAACAATCGACAGACGACGTCTCGGCCAAGGTCGCAGCGACAATCGCGTGGCGCCGTAGCCTCCAGTACAAGGCGCCACTCAAGCGTGCGAACCGCGCTGCTCCAGCAGTAGCAGTTGATAGCAACGTCACATCTGAGTAGATACGATCGTCGTCCATTGCAGCAGAGAATAGATAGAGAGTCCACCGAGGCGATTTTGTAATGATAACAGGCTAGGTTCAATTCCCACTCTAGCACGCAGCTCGTTGGGCAACGGCAACCAACGAAGTACGCTGCACAACTACCTACCTATTCAACAGCTGTCATCTGATTTGAGCGGGTATAGTGGCGAAGGTTTAGGACTGCGAAACCGTGGAGTGCGGGAAGTGGATGCTAGGTTGAATGTATCAGCACGCGAGGCCTGGTCGGAACCCGAATGATGTCTACATACTGAGGCTACTCAAGCCCATTGCTGTTCCCAGCGCTCACAATTCAATTTGCTTGTACCCCCCACAACAACCATGCAGTTCCGCTTCTTGCTCCTCGCCATCGCCGCGTTTGCCTGCGCGACCCTCGCTGCCGAATCCGACGCAGTCCAAAGCGGCGTCGCCAACCCGGCCTTGCGTGGCAACGGCAACGAAGAGATCTGCCAGAACTGCTTCTGGCACCCCGAGCAGATTTGCTGCGGCCTCCGCCCGTAGAGCGCTCACCAATCAATGTCGCGACGTTAACTCGAATCAAACAGTCGATTTTGGTTCATCAAAGGTGTACTAGTAGTGTACATGCTCCAGTTGTACGAGATAGACATGCTGGGGCTGTGAGAGTGTATAGTCGACCCGCAAGGTGCTGCTACAGCATAGTCGGTAGGAAGGTCTGGGCCAAAGGCAGGGTCTCGCTTCGACCAAGATACCATGCCCATCAAAGAAGAGCCTCCCATTGGTGGGCAGGATGGGAAGGCACGATGTGTGGATTTAGATTAGCTACATTAATGTTTAATATTATACCAATAAATCACGCAACTATTATTCAATGGCACCAATTTTTGCAGCCATGGCCCAAGCAAACGTGCATTGAGCATGCAGGACCCTCTGCACAGCCCCAGTTCACAACGTTACGTACGGACGTTGCAGCTACAAAAGGTATGAAACCCGCGTATGCAGTCGCCTCGTATCGACCTTCGCGCTCGGCAGTTGCTGCGCTAGCCGAGCAGAAGCAGTGCAGCAGCACAACGCTGGTGTAGTGTGATGTGCCCATCTACCATACTGGCCGTCGCCGACTTGATGGTCCACACCGACCTGCACGACAGTCCCACGTGCATATACGCGTTGTCGTGGTACGTCAAGTGTTAGATTATCCCTTTGGTGTGTCTAACGCGCTGTTATAACGCGATGAATATAAAGTATGAGAGGGTGTCGAATGGGTTGCTAGAGGTGCGTGAAGTGAGGCCAGAATCCATAGAGAAACCCAATGAGAGATCTTTCCGCAATAGAAATTTCCAGTCGGGATGAACAGCGCCGAGAGCGACATGGCGCGGCCGCTGCCGACGGACCTCCTCGACCCCCTCGACAAGATGACCTCGGAGACGCGGTCCCAGCGCCTCATGGTACCCTTCCTGCCCCATCTCCCTCATGCTCACCTCCTCCATGCAGACGGAGCTGGCCGCGCTCTCGGCCGACCGCGATCATGTGATCTCGATGGAGTCGCTTACGTACCTCAGTGCCATGGGCCGCGTCGAAGCGATCAAGCTAGCAGTGGAGAAGCCTCTGGCCGACGCCCCGACCAAGGGGACCGACCGCGTCTCGGCGGACGCGGCCCGGCGGCAGCGCGTCGAGGAGCTCACGCGCTTCTTCATGGAAGCCAAGTCGGACATTGAGTTTGCGCTGAGCGGAGGCCTGGGGCGCCGCGAGCGTGCGCGACAAGACCAAATCGACTCGGACGGCAAGTCGGACGAGGAGAAGAGCGATGCATCGATGCAGGAGGCGAGCATGGACGACGCCACGCCCGACAGTGTGACCGACGAGGCGCCGCCCTCGGCCGAGCGCACGCATTTTCAGCTCCTCTCAGACCCGATCGACGCGCGGGTGTTTCACCCGCTCTTGCTCTCGATCCGCGACTCGGACCCGCTCTTGTACGGTACGATGTTGTGCCATCCCCTCGTGGCGGTGCACGACCCGCGACGCGAGAAGCAGCAGAAGGTGCAGCTTCCATCCAAAACAAAGAAGAAGAAGCAGAAGAACGACATTCCCGCAATGTACCAGCCCGACTTTGCGGCGCCGCTGCTCACCGACGACGAGGCGACCGTGCACGTCGCGCGCTTTGTGGCCCGCGCGTTGGCCGACGGCACGATTCCGGCGCTTCTGCTTGCAGCCCAAGTTGTGTTGTCGTTTGACCTGAGCAAGCAATACCCGCTTGTGTCGCACCTCAAGGTCCTGCGCGGCGAAGCCGCTCCGGGGGAATCAGCGCCAGCCGTGCCCAAGGTACAGCCCAAGAAGCCGCTTGTGCCGAGCTCCGACGTTGTCTTGGACACGGCCGACTTTATGAGCAGCGTCATGGAGCTCGAAGGAACTATGGGGCCACTTGCGGCGCTCCGGTCGCGCTTGGGGCGACTCGAAGATAGCATGGACGAAGACATGGACGCGATGAGCAACAGTAGTAGCAGCCAGCTGCCTCTCGAAGAAGTCGCCGACGAAGAAGCGCTCATGGCCCGGGCGATCGCACTCTCGTTGTCGCCCGAGCTGCAGGTGAAGGACGCCGACGCGATCGAGTCCACGGTCGATATGGACACGTTGTTGTCGGAGAATGCGCCAAAGGCCTTGCCGACAGCATACAGCCCCGATGAGCTCACGGCGTTTGCCATCTTTGATCTTTCGTCCGCAAGCGATGCCGCTGTCGCCGGTAGTGTCGTGCTGCAGTATCTCTGGACTGGCGTTCACGTCATCTGCCGCGAGTACGTTGAGCTCGCCGAGACCAAGCGCACCGTGTCCTCGAGCAACCCGATCGTACCCAACCCGCTCGCGTTTCTCTTGCTGCAGTCGATGCTCGCCCGGGTCGGAGCGCATGTCGACGTCTCGGACCGCGACGCGTTGGTGTTCACGTCGGGGGGCCTCGTGCTTTTGCATGCGCTTGATGCGTACCTCTTTCATGTGCATGTCATGGGCATTGCGCCGGCGTCCGTGGGCCTTGGCCAGTCATCGACGAACGCGAACCCGTTGCCACTGGCGCTCAAGAACGTACTTTTGCACTACATGGCGGGTCTTGAAGGTCCCGACGCGCCTCTCGACCCGATCGTGTTTACCGACGCCTCGGCGTCGCTATCAGCGTCTGTTGCACGGTACCGAGCGTGCCTTCCAGCGCAGGCGCGTGTGACGTGGGCCCGCGGCATTGCGCACTTTTATCCGACGCATAGCGAGCGCCACGCGCTACTACATTCGCTTCTTGAGCAGCTCCCACAGTCGCACGCACAAGTCGATTTGCTTTGTACCCGTCTCGCAATCCCGGACCTTGCGCTCGGGTTTGTACCTGTGCTGCACGAAGAGTACAGTGCCGAGACGAGCCCGCGAACGCTTCTGGACGACGATGCACTCGTAAGCTCCAAGCTTTGCATCTGGCCGCCGTCACTCGTGCGTGAGTCGCTCGAAGCGAATACGTGCCGTTCATCAAGCATTATGGACTTTTTGCTGACGGTTGCACCGGGTTTGTTTGACGTGACGACCACGAGAGACGCGTCGCTGGACACGGTCATGAGCATGTACGCGCAAGCTTTTGAGAGCCAAGCCGATGCGCTCAAGCAGACGTGGTCGCATCTGCTGCCGACCATGCAGAAGCTCACAGACTACGTCGCCAACGAGCCCGAGTTCCGCATGGTCGCGTTGCCGACACCGGCGTTTTCGTCTACGACGGTGCCACATCTCGGTAAGGCGCCCAACGCGCGCCTCCAGCTGCTCCGCGCGCTCCAAGATGGCCTTCTTGCGTCGTTGCATGGCTCGATAGCGGGTGACGAGCCGACGCGTCTCGAATTTGATGGTGCGCGCTGTGCCGACACGCTTACACTTGTGGACGGCCAATCAAGCGCGAAGCAACACACGGCCAAACAATGGGGTATGGTGCTTTCGACGTACGGCTGCGCACCGAATACGGGCCTTCATGAGTGGGCCGTACGTCTCGATCGGTGCGAGAAGGGCCACGTCTTTCTTGGTGTGAGTACTCGAGAAGCGTCGGTCGCGACGTACGTGGGAGGTGACCGTCACGGCTGGGGCTTGATTGGCACGCGCGCGCTGTGGCACAACCGGTCCAAGGTCCGTGGTGACTATGGCGACGGCTTCAGCACCGGCAGTGTCGTGCGCATCCGACTCAACACGGACACGGGCGCGCTTAGCTTTGGCCTCCTCGACGACGACTCGGACTGGGGCATTGCGTTTGATGGCTTGACGCAACATGGCACTCTGTACCCGGCGATCGGCCTCTACCAACGTGACGACCAGGTCACGCTCGTGCCGGCGTCGCTCGGCTCCTCGTCTGCGACGATTAGTGCTGACCACGCGATTACGCCCTTGTACCAAGAGGTCGTGTTGCACACCTTCTTTGAGTATGTGCACTCAGTCGTCGAGTCGCTGCCCGATTTTTTGCTCGCGCTTGGTTTGCCGCTCTTCAGCTCGCTGTGTTTGCTCGTGCGCCAGGCCCAGCGCAACCCGAACCACCCGCTTGCAACCATGTTTGCGTTGCATCTCCTTCCCAAGTGCATGGAAGTGCTGCTGCGTCTGGATGAACCAAAGTCGACGACAAACCAACAAGGTCAGCTCGGTCTTGCAATCGACGGCAAGTGGGAACTCAAGAGCATGGCCGCCGGTACGATCCCCGCCCAGCAATATGTTTTGGACATCGACCAATCGCCTGACGGTGGTATGCGTGGGCACAGTGCCTCGTCTTCGGTGGCCGTCGAGGGTGTCGTCCGAGGCACGCGTGTCTCGTTTGTCGAGACGTGGACGCAAGGTGGCACGTGTCTTGTCCAGGGCCGACTCCGAATTGATGGCCGTGTCTTCCACGGCACGTACGAAGACACCAAGAGCCACACGATCGGCAGTATTGTCGGCAGTGCGCTCCTGCCGCGAGCATCGCCGTGCCCGAACCTCAAGCTCATTGTTCAAATGGTCGTGGGCACGCTCATCGGTGCTTACAACACGGTGCTACTCACGAGCGACCCAGAGCCAAGCGCGTACCAGAGTTTCCACGCAAGTGACGAGACGGACAACACGTCGCCGTTGTCCCCGGAAGCTACAACCGAGGAGTACGAAGAGTGGGTGCAGAGCCCGCTATTTAGCGGAGGTCTTCCAGAGCTTTTGCCGCACGTGACCGTCGCCGCTCAGCGTTTTGCTGTGCCAACTGCTCGCTGGTCCGCGATGGCGTCACGATGGACTCAAGCCGTGTCACCGACGCTCACGTCTGTCCCTGTGGAGCCATCGACATTCTTGGCGGATCTTATCGCCGGGCGCAACGATGTCGACGCGCATATCACCAAGCACGCTGGCGAGTCGCCGTTCTTGCGTCTCGGTGGCGACGCGATGAAGACGGCGCGGCGTATGATCTGCGCATGCATGCTCTGGCACACGGGCTTGACGCTCGACAACATGGTCATCTCGGAGACTGACCGGCCGCACGAGAACGTACTTCACATTTGGCGCGCGGCCCAGCGCGTGGTCGAATGGAGCGTGCGCATGAAGCAACAACATTCGCACAGCTACAGCGATATGGCCACGTACCTCATGCAACGCGCGCGGTTCCTCTTGCAGCTTCAGAACCCGCTCGCGCTCAATTGTGCGTCCTCGGAGCGCCTCTTTTCCGAGACACTCATGCACGTCTCGCGCTTCCTCCAGGCGACGGGTACGCACTTGGGTAAGTTGCATCAGCTGCTCTTGCGCAACGCGGGCCGCGCGTACTTTCGTGCCATGGGCTTGCACTCGATGCGATTTGTGCTCGAGCTCGGCCTCACCAACTCGTCGAGCGCCCTCTGTCATGCGCTCCAGTGGCTGCATCTGGACCCGCTCGCCGATAAGACGGCGCTCCAGAAGCTTCGCATGCACCACTTTGACCATGGCATCCACGGCTGCGGCCGCGTGCTCCATGGCCACGTCAAGGATGCGTGGGAAGCGTTGTACGCCCACTTGGCGTCGACCTTGTCGCGCGCGACGTGGGCCAAGGACGCGGATCTACAGCTTGTCGTGCTGCAAGCGTGGGGTGTGCTGATTACACCGGACGACCACGCCTTTGTGTCGCGCGTCGGTATTTTCCGCATTTTGCAGACCGTGCTTGACGAGGCCCGGTCCAGCGCGATCGTGCCCAAACACATTGTCCAAGCCGCGCTCAAGGTTGTGCATTTGCTCGCGGCCCAAGTTGCGACTGGCACACTCCCCGAAGAAACGTCGGTCGCGACGAGTATCCCTCTCTCGCGCAAGCCGTCGGGCCCAGAAACCCTCGGCAAGTCGGTGTTCGAGATGCTATTCACCGAGCTGCGGAACGCTCAAGAAGGCTCGGCGTCCAAGGAGGCGCAGCAATATGGCCTCCAGATCTGCGGGCTTTTGTACAGCGTAAGTACGGCGCCGCTCTGCCGGCAGCACTTGTCCTCGCCCAAATGGTTGCGCCTTCTTTTGCGTCTCGTCGAGACTGGTACGTCGCCGGTCCAACGCCGCGTACTTCAGCTGCTGCGTCGCCTCTTGCCGCACATCCATCCGCGCCGCTGCGTCCAGTGGGCCGAGGCTGACGATGACATGGAAGATGACACTATGATGCTGGACGATCCCGCGCCGGGTCATACACCATCGAGCCTCGTCGTCTTCTTCCTCACCGTGCTGGCGTCGTCGCTGCCCGCGAGTTTTGCACAGTGGCAACTCACGCAACTGGCAGGACCGAGCTCGCCCTCGCGCCTCTCCCCGGGCTCCTCGCACGGACTCGTCGGTGAGGTGGTGCATCTCTTGCGGTCACTCTTTGTCGCGGACGGTTGGAAGAGTATCTTGCACGACGTGCTTTTGGATGCTCTCTCCAAGCAAGAGACGTTGTTTGTGTCCGAAGCCGATGCCCCGGATGCGCTCTTGTCGCAGTGGACGGCGTGGTATCGCGACCAGATGCAAGCCTGTGCCGCCCTTTGCGTCTTGGGTGGGCACATTGAAGGCCTCCAAGTGGGTCACATGGTCAAGCTGGCGCCACGCCCGAGCTCGTCAGATGTGGTTTTCAAGGGGGCCAAGGGCGTCTTGGTCGGCATGGACCTCGACAAGTCGTCGGTCGAGGTACTGCTGCAAAAGAGTAGCGAGTGGACGGGCGCGGGTGCGTCGACGAGCACGAGCAACAACCGCCCGATCCGCGTCGCTCTCGAAGACATTGTACAGTGCCCCGAGGTTGAGTGGAAGGACATGCAGCCCGAAGTCGTTCAACGCCTTGTTGTGCACCATACGCCGCAGTTTCTTCAGGCCGTCCTCGGCATTGCCGCCCCGAGCACGACCAACGCGAGTGAAGACGAGAACAAAGAGCCCAAGGACGCCCCGTTGTCGATGGACTTGATTCGCTCCGTGGTCGACGAAGAGCAAAAGATGCTGCAAGCGCTTGTCGGCCTGCACGGTATCCGCGCAATGGGGCCGTGGTTGCACCAACCCGCGTGCCCCGCGTGGCTCCAGCCGACGCTGCCGTTGCTCTGTCAAGTGGCGACGCTGCCCACGTCGACAAGTGGGCTCACCGATTTGAGTATCCTCGAAGAGCAGTGGCTCCTTCTCTACCGCAAGTGGCTCGAGGAGCACCAGGGCAAGTTTCCCAAAGAGGCGTCCCCCACATCGGCGGCAGCGGCAACCGACGCTGACGCTTCAAAGTCGGCCCCAGCTGCAGCGGCGCCACCGTCGGCCATGTGCCTCCAGATGATGGAGATGGGCTTTCCGCGCGAATGGTGCGAAGTTGCGCTTGCCAAGTGCGCGTACCAAGTTGAAGTGGCCATCAACTTTTGCTTCGAGCACTCTAGCGAAATGGACCGACTCGTGCAGCAAGCGACTCAAAAAGCCAAGGCGCCGGCGCCGCGCAAAGAGCGCGCGGAGCCGTCTGTGCCACCGATGCTTCTTGAGCAGCTGAGCGAAATGGGTTTTCCAGTCAACTGGTGCAAGAAGGCCCTCTTGGCGAACCGCAACAATGTGGACGCGGCGCTCACGTGGATTCTCTCGAACGGCGAAGCGCTCGAAGCCGAAGACCGCCGCGAAGAAGAAAAGGCAAAGGACGTTGTCGAGCATGTTGAGCGATCGGTACGTCTCTTTTGGGGGTGTTCTGCATAATAACTTCTTCTCCTCATAGACGGTGCGGCAAGGTCCCAACCCACTTCGGCACATTAGTGGGCAGGCATCGATCTCGGACGATCTGCTTGTCGAAGGCATGGCTGGTGGCGGCTTTGCTTCTGTCGGCGCGCCGGACTGCATCGTCTTTACGGGTCGTTGGTACTACGAAGCGACGCTGCTGACGTCGGGCTGCATTCAGATTGGCTGGGTGGACGCTGCGTTCTCGGGTGCCTCGGAGCGTGGCACGGGCGTCGGCGACGGGCCGCACTCGTGGGCCTATGATGGCTGGCGCCAGCAAAAGTGGCACGGCCTCAGCAGCCCGTATGGCCGCAAGTGGAAGGTCGGTGACATCATTGGCTGCGGCGTCGACTGCGACGCTGGGACCATCTTCTTTTGCCTCAACGGCGAGTACATGGGCGTGGCCTTCCGCGGCATTGACGTGAGCGGTGGTCTCTATCCGTGCGCGAGCTTCAACCGGCGCGAGCGCCTCGCCTTCAACTTTGGTGGTCTGCCCTTTTGCACGACGTCGCTTGCGCATGCCAACTTTGCGCCGATCTTGCACACGCTTCCGACGGACCCAGCGACGTACGTCAAGGGGTCGCTCGAAGACAGTCTCGAAGAGTGCATGGGTGAAGAGCAATACGCATCGGACGCGCGGTACTTTGGAAAGGACCTCAAGGCTGCGGCAACCGTCCCGGGCCGCGCCAAGCTTCAAAATGCGGTGGTGCTGCAGTCGTCCTCGTCGTCGGCGTCGCTTCTTGGTGACTGGATGCAGCTCACGCGCCAGTTGGCCATTTTGCATGCCCGCAAGGCTCTTTTGGCCATATGGAGCCAGTGGCCCGTCGACTTGGCCGTGCCTGACGTACCCGCCGATTCGTTTTACACGTTCCTCAAGCTCGTGGCGCCGTATGCAACCCAGGTGACGAATGATGACGCGATCTTGTCGTCGCTCGACACGCTGCGACCGCTCACGCTTCAGATGCTCGCGTCGCACCCGGGTCTCGCAACGTCGATGCTGTCGGCGCTGAGCGACCATGTCGCCCTCGCTGGCACGCGCAAGTACGCCAAGATTCCGTGGGACGCACCCAACGAGCTTGTGGTCTTGTCGAGCCTCGCGCAGCTGAACGACGCGCCGTGGACTGACAACGAAGTGCTCACGCACCCCAACGTGCACTTTGCCGAGTGGGTGACGTTTTTGTTGCTGGAGCACGGCCGCCCGTCGGTGCGTGAAGCGCTTCTACAGGCGTGGATTTGTGTGCTCAAGTCGCCCAGTCTGTGCTTGAAGGACAAGGCCGCGCAGCTATTGTCTCGGTTCGTGCCTGAGATGCCGCTGGAGACGATTACGCACTTCCCGCTGGAGCGACTCGTCGCCCTCTGCGCGCAGCGCCTCGCAAAGGAGTATGTGCACTTTCCCATCTGCTCCAAGTACCTCCAACACCTCATGGAGCTGACGTCGACGTTGTGCATTGTGCACGGTGACGTCTTGCCGACGAGTTCGCTCGCCCAACGCGTCTTGGCCGCGAAAGCAGCGTACGAAACTTTGCAGCCGCTCGAGCTCCTCGAAACGTCGTGCGTGGACGAAGTCGAGAAGCAGGACGAGTCGATGGGCGACGATGACGACGAGGATGGCATGACACCGCCGCCGCCACCACCGCCAATGGATTTGGCCGCGATTGCGCAAATGAATGCCGAAGACAAGAACGGACAGCCTGTGGACGCACCGGTCGCGACTGCTACGCGCTCACCAGTGCCTCCGTTCCCGCTGCAGCTGGTCGACAGCTCACTTTTGACACCCGAGCAGCGCGCGCACATGGAAGCAGCGTACCTCGGGTTCAAATCGGGCGCTCCCGTCTCATGGCCGTATGGCTTTGACATGGGTGTCGTCTCGGATGACGCCAAGGCGCATCTATGGACGGGCACCGTAACACAGCTCAAGGTTCAGCGCCCCGTGGACGATCTTGAGGCGGCCAAAGCTGCGGCTGAGGTCATTCCACCGCTTGGTATTGGCTGCAAGGTCAAGCGTGGTCCGCACTGGAAGTGGCGCGATCAAGACGGTGGCGATGGCATGATTGGCACCGTCGAAGGGATCAGCCCCTGGAGCGGCGTCGAAGGCGAGGGCATGAGCGTCCGCTGGCCTAACGAAGCGCTCTACACCTATCGATGGGGTGCTGACGGCAACTACGATCTGACGCACGTGGAAGTCGACGACCAAAACAACGTGGTGCGAACGTACCCTACGCCCAAGCCGACGGTTGGCGCGACGCTCTCTGCTGCGGACATTCTCGCCAACCCGTTCTCAGTCGAGCTTCACTTTGGCATGGTGCTCCGAGTGTGGCCGTCGACGCATCACGGTCGTGTTGAGGGCGTCGTTGAGTGGCCGGACCATCAAGCTGTCATAGCAGTCGCCGGGACGTTTGCGGACCACACGTTGCAGCTGCAAGAAGTGGCAATGCTTCAAGGTATCCACACGTTTGCCATGCAATGGTAATGATGTTGGATGTTCAACTAGGTGACATGGACATGGGCTGGAGCTTGCGCTTTGGCTGCGAACGGTGGCTTCCCGGCACCAAGTACTCGCTCGTCGTTGACGCATCGACTTGCTGGGGCGACGCTGTCTACTATGGATGGCACGAAAAAACGTGGTCGCTTGTCAAGAGCCAAGTGCGGCTTCAGTCGGAGCTGCTCTTCTCGCTCGACCCGCACGCCGCCAACGCGGCGCTGCAAGTTGCGACCGACGGACAAAGCGTGCAGTGCCTCAGCGGTGACTCGCGCAACCTCGTGCTGGGCACGGTCGGCTTTAGTGCCGGTGTGCACTACTGGGAGCTGCGCGTCGACCAGGCCGAGTTTGGGTCGGTCTTTCTCGGTGTCTGCGAAAAGCAGACCAAGGGCACGACGGTCGTCAACCTCAACCGGTGGCAGGGCTGGGGCTTTGTCAACTTTCGCGCGACGTACCACAACTCGACTGAGCGCATCTACGGCGATCACTTTAACGCGGGCGACACGATTGGCGTCTGCCTCAACATGGAGTCGGGTACGAAGATGGCACCTCGATGAATCAACAGGTCGTGACGACGTGCTGTAGGCAAGCTCTCGTTCTTTATGGACGGTATCAAGTACGGCGAGCACATTGTGACAGACCTTGGCACGGCGTTCGAAGGTCTCAAGCACGACAACCAGAGCCCGAAGACGCTGTACCCGTGCATTGGTTTGCGCAAGGCCGGCGACAAGGTGACGCTCAACGGCAAGTGGATCAGCTCGCCCGGCGTTCCCCCCGCACTGGTGTGCAAGACGGCCATGGCATTTTCGTCGCTGGTGCACCGCCTCGTGCAGCAGCCGCCGGCGCCGCTCCCAGAGTCGTTTGTCCACAGCGGGTATCGGCAGTACCACCGGTGGCTCACGCAGCACACACTGCGGGTCCTCACGCGTGGCCGTCTCTCTGTGGACCTTGACACGGCCGTGACGAGTTGCCAGCGCGTCTGTGACGCTGCGCAAGCACCGATTGCAATCGTCGCTGGCGATCGCGTCCGGATTCTCTCCAAGGGCGGCCGCGCGCTGGACGCACCCGAGGAAGCCGTCGTCTTGGGTATGTTATGAAGGCTTTTATACCAACAATGCTCAATCTCAATATGTAGGCGTGTACCGCGACCGCCTCTGGTACCGCGTCGAAACCCAGGGCAACGAAGGCAGCGAGGAAGGACGGTCGTACGCGTGGTACTGGGACGGCGCCGAGCTACCTGAGCTTATTCTTGTCAAGCGCAACGGCATCGATGTGAGCGCGAGCGCGATTCCAGCGCCAGCGCCGTCGAGCACCCCGGAGCTCCACGCAGACGAGCTTTTGGCGCTTTCGAGTCTTGGCGGGTACCAATCGCTCGCGCTCGCGCCAGTGCACTCGCTCTCGACCGACGTGCAGCTGATTGAGCACCTCAACGGCCTCTGTGCGACGCACGGCGTGGACGCCGTCAACCTCTCGTGGTCGCACATTCAAGCTGTGCAGCAGCCGCTTCCCGTGGATGGTCTCTCGGCCTCGATGCTGCGCGCTCGTCTTGCGCTCCTTCTTGCCTTCCAGCAGCTCGTGTTGCAAGCGAGTCCGCTCTTGTGCTTTGACGATGGGTCGCGCACGAGCCGGGAGCTCCTCACGCTGCGGCGTCTCGTGTGTACGAGCACGAAGCTCGGCCTTTGGGACAGCGTTTTGCGCGCGACGACGACCGCGACGCCACTTCCGTCCGACGAGTACGAAGACCCGCGCGAAATTCGCGTCTTGCGCATCAACCGCATCCAAGCGCAGGCGTCCAAGCTCGCCTTGTGTCCTGCGCCGTCCGACCGCCTCCGCAAGTCGGTGTTTGGCCAACTTTATCGCGAGATGCGCACGTGGAGCGACTCTGGCTTTCGGCGCGCGTACATTGGCAAGGGCCATGGTGGACAAAAGCGTGCGTTCAAGGTCAAGTTCCTCGGCGAGGGTGTCAACGACTATGGCGGGCCGTACCGCGCGGTCTTTGAGCAAATTGTGGACGAGCTCCAGATGGACCAGGTCGAAGTGACCAAGGGCGAGCAAGGCTTGCTGCCGCTCCTCGTGCCGTGCCCGAACCGTCGCGCTGGCACGGGCAGCAACCAAGACAAGTTTGTGCTCAACCCGAGCTGCGGCACGATCTCGGTCGCTGTGGGCCCGATCGCACTCGAGCTGCACCGCTTCCTCGGCAAGCTCATTGGTATGGCCGTGCGCCACGGCCTCCAGATGGGCCTCGACGTGCCGTCTGTCGTGTGGCGTCCGCTCGTGGGCCTGCCGTTGCATGTGGCCCACTTGCGTGAAATTGATGTCGTTGCGGCCAACATGCTCGAGCAAGTCCAGGACGACGCGTTGAATGGCGAGCCGCTCGTCTTTACGACGCATCTCAGCGACGGTACCGAGGTCCCACTGCTTCCCGACGGTGACGCGCGGTCGGTCGACAGTAGCAACCGCGCCGAATACATCGAGCTCTCGATTCGTAAGCGATTGAACGAGAGCAGTCCGCAGCTCCAGGCGCTGCGCGAGGGCCTTGCCTCGGTGCTGCCGATGGAGCTCACGGGCCTCTTTACGGCGCGCGAGTTTGAAGTGCTCGTGTGCGGTCGGCGTCAAGTCGACGTGAATCTGCTGCAGCAGTGCACCGAGTACGAAGACGTCGACCCACAGAGCGACCACATTCAGTTCTTTTGGCAAGTGCTCCACGAGCTCTCGAACGAAGACCGGACGCTCTTCTTGCGCTTTGTGTGGGCGCGCAGCCGCATGCCCAACTCGGCCAAGGAGTTTCCAATGAACTTCAAGATCCAAGTGCGTCCGACGTCTATTCGAGTACCCTCTCGACTAACGAATGCATTAGGCGCCCCATGACCAAGGCGCGCGCCAGACCCCGGATGCGTACCTCCCGCATGCGCAGACGTGCTTCTTCTCGCTGAGCCTGCCCGCGTACTCGACCAAGGAAATTTTGCGCGCCAAGCTCCTGTACGCGATCCAAAACTCGCCCAACATGGACGCCGACGTCCGCCTGCACAACGCCGAGGGCTGGGCCGACGCCTAGGACGTGACTACACATATACATACCATGCATAACCTCTCTTTAGAAGCGGTTCTCGAGGGCGCTAATCGCCCGCTCCCGAACGACGGGTGCGGTCGGGTGCATGAGCTGAGGGTGCGAGATGGTTGCTGCCACCAAGTGCTCTGGGGCAATCCGTCGCAGAGGCGAGTCGTTGGACGACGCAATATGGCTCAACAGCGCATCTGTGACGTCCTCCATGTAGCTCTACATACCGTCAACGCATGAGAGCCATAGGAAGAGGAAGAGTTGCTTGCCTCGACGGCCGAGGCAAAGGCGGTCATGGCACCGGGTTCGACGCGATGAAGGCCAGCTTGGAGCGCTGCTTGCTGCATGATGAGCTCGAGTGGGATCGCCTTGTGCTCCACCGGTGGTCCTTCGGCGTATGGCGGAATCGAAGCGGAGTAGATGAGACCCCCCGACGGTGCATGAAGGCGGTAGCCGGCCAAGGCAGCGTCGTTGCTGGCCAAGGCCATTGGCGCTGGCGTCGCGTCGTATGTTGGCGACGGACGCGGCGAGGGGCAAGCCAGTGCAGAGGACGAAGAGTCAAGGACGCTACATGCACCTGCTTCCATGCACAGGCAAGAGGAGAAGAAAGGATATGGTCGGCGAGAAAACTCAAGTCGGCCGTCGCTTGGGCATCGTGATCGCTGGAGGCGGGCTCGTTCACCATGATGCCAAGCAGTTGGGCCATGGCTACAGCAAGGCGTTGCACCTTGATGCATGGTGATCGAGCCTACCCTGCTCGTGCGTCTCGACAAGGCGGTCGGCCGTCGTCGGATGCGTCGGCGGATCTGCGAGGTCATCGATATTCGATGGGGCTGCCTGAATGACCGATCCCTTGGCCGCAGCGGCGCTCGCATGGGCGCGGCTTAGCAGCAGGACGACCAGTCGGTTGTGCAGTCGCCCTGGCATCATCCTCTTCCTCAGCATCTCAAGATCCGAGGGCGACGTACGCTGGCGCGGCGAGAGCTCGGACGCGACGACCGCATGGAGCTCGCCCAGCGAGAGTTGCAGTCGCATGTACTTCTGGAAGGCGCCCCAGTAGCGCTTCCATCGACCGAGCTCCCGCGTCCCGCAGAGGTCCTTGAAGATGGCAAACTTGAGCTCGCGGGCTTCCATGATCTTTACAGCACGTCCAATTCGGCACTACCACTATCCATGCCGAATTCGCGCGTGAAAGGATGCCGAATCTAACAACGCCACCACGACAAGGGCCACAGATTCGAGCCGCGTCCGTGTGAGCTGCCATGCTGGGAGGTATATATATATGGTCCTGTGTGCGGTGGTGGTATGCTCGAGATAGAGGCTCTTGGGCTCCTGGGCTTTTGGGCTGCACGCCGATGGCTTGTCTTGGATTCGGCATTCGAATTCGGCATATGCCACGTCAAACATCATTTTCACATCGTTCGACGCCACGCCGCCATGCAGCGGACCATGCTGACCCGTCGGTGCTTCTCGACGGCCGAGGTCGCGCTCGCGCAGCTGACCAACCCAACAAGCAACCACAAGGCGTGGCGCCATGCGCTCACGGCCTGGTCGTCGGACAAGTGGCGCGACGTGTTGCGCCTCGACGCGACTGTTGCAGACCACCAGCGCGCGTTTGCGACCATCTTGCAAGACCATGGCCCTATGAACCACTTCTACCTCCTCAAGCAACATCCCGGCGTAGCACCCGAGGTTCTCGATCTCTTTCTCGACGCCACGCGCATGTACCCGTACGAGCAAGTCAAGTACCGCGAGATGGACCTCATCAAGGTACGCACGCCTATACATGGCGCATCCACCATGGCACGCCTAGATCCTGCGTCAAATGGCGCTGGCGACGAGCGAAGACGCCATGGTTGCGACTGCGATCCGCGCGCTTCTCGACTTGGCGGCGTCGTCCTCGGCGTCCTCGGACGTGTTGCACCTCTACAAGAGCCTCATGGCCGCGTCGTTCGAACCCGAGACGATACCCGACGCGTGCTTGCAGGATGTCGTAACGACGCTGCTCGCTCACGACCACATTGATACGGTAGCATGCGTTTCGACGGCCATGCACGCTCAATGCGCTCGTACGTAGGCCCTCGACCTTCTCGCCGACTGCAAGGACACGACCGAGATGCTCGTGCCCATCGACCTCTTGACCAGCGTCTTCGAGTACCTCGGTCGTCACGGCTCGATCGAGCGCGTCACGCGCACCGTCGATATCGCATTCGAATGGGCCTTGCCCGCCGATGCGACGACGCTCGCCGCGAGTATGCTCACGGCCTGTCTTGGGTCGGGTCACCTCACTCTCGCCCTCGACGGTACACAGCCCCAAGAGGTCTGCACGAGAGATGCACTCAGCTTTCGATAGTGTTTGATGCGATTCCGTCCGAAGTTTGGGCCGAGCAGAGTGTCTATGCACTCGCCTCGGCGCTGCCGAGTATGGTCCAGTTCAAGACCGACCTCATGGTCTTGCATATGCGGACGTCCCACGCGTTCTCGCCAGTACGCCGGCTTGCTCGAGACGTCCTCATGACGCGCGCGTGTAGAGGGTCTTGGAGCGCTACCTCTTGTCGGCCCAGCAAGTCGATGCGCCAGCGTTCCTGCGTCAGCTGCTCGACGACGTAGCCGAGCGCGGCTGGTCCATGGACCTGCTCATTACATGCGCGAAGCGAACACCCCACTCGCCCGACTGTACCTTCCTCGGTGCACCTCTTGTCGATCTCATGGCTGGTGTAGACGAGCAGCTGGCCGCGACCTTGCTCTTGCACCAGCTCGAGACACGCCCTGCACAGCGCGTTGAAGTACGTTCTGCGCACGAGGTGCGCGCACTCACTGCGCGCGCTCTAGATTCTGGCTGATTTTAAGGCGCACGTATGGAGCAAAACGTGGCTCCGCGTCGCGAACCTCATGCTCGCGCAGCTGGTGCGAGACGCGCCGTCGCGGGCCGTCGCATTGTACACGTCGCTCTTTGCATCGTCGGGCGACGACACGATGCACGTGCGCAGTAGCTTGCACCCGCTGCTCCTGCACCTCGCCAACCACGGTCATATCGACGAGGTAGCATCGCCCATAACAATGCTTCTTGGCAGATCGTATTGTAGGTGCTCGCCCTCCTCACGTTCGCCAAGGCCATGGCCATCAAGCCCCGCGCGGACGACCTCGCGACCGTCGCCGCCGGTCTCGCCAAGCACCCGCTCGCATCTCTGCACGCGCGGCCATTGATAGCAACGTACATTGATCTGCTCACGTCGATGCGCATCCCAACGACGCTCCGCGTGTGGCGCCACATGATCCTGCTCGCCAATGCAACGCACGACCCGACGTCCGCATTTGCAGGTAGATGGCGGCGAGAGGCGAGGTCGTGATCTAGACTCTCGTAGTCTACGCCGTCATGCAGGACAAGCGCATCAAGATGTCGGAAGCGATCGCGCTCGAACTCCTCCGCGCGGCGCGCAAGGACTTCTGTCGCTTCACGCGGCTGTACGACGATGCAATGGCGGCCAACGCAGGCTCCACGGTACCTCTTTCAGCAACGTTCGCATCGATGTAATGATACGACGCGGTGCTAGCGCCTCTTTGGGCTCGTGCTCAAGACCGCTTGCTACGAGCAGGACCCGGCGTTCCTTCGGCGGGTCTTGAGCGACATTGCGGCCAGCGCCTTCTCATCGCGCGCCGCTCCACCCACGTCGTCGTCCTCCCACGCGCTACCTGTCGTCTAGCCGAGCCGCCTCGACGCGTAAAAGGGACTGCGTATGTGGTCCTGTTGATAGGAAGTTCTTTACGCTGACGTGGTTCGCCGATGGGGCTTCTCGGGCAGACGCAAGACGTGGCACACCTTGTGCCATAGCGCCGGCCACGCGCCGCTGGGTACGACCTTGGATCGCGTTGGTCGCTCGAGGCTCAGCGTCGCGTCGTGGCTGCGCGACGCGGTGACATCGGTCAGCGAGAGCGACGAAACCTAGCATGCGACAATCATGTGGCTGGAGGCGCATGCGAGGGGCGTACGGAGGCGCGGAGGTAGTCGCGCGAGGGTTGGTAGCGCGTCTGGAAGCCGCCGGGGACCTCGTGGAAGCGGCCTGGCCGGGCGGTCCCGAGGCTGCTGCGGCGGTCCAGCATCGACGTCGTCCTGTGTGCGAGATCTTGTGTGAAATTGCGACAGCAGCAAACCAAGCTGCGCTGTAACATCCGGATAAATAGCATTCGGCAAATGCCGCCAAAAAAGCACAAGGAAGGGGCACGGGTGATATCTCTGCGTGCGTCGCGCCAACGACACGAGCCATCGATAAGGACTTCGCAGCTAGCCCGAGCTGCTGCTGCTGTGCTTAAGTAGGGCGCCGCGTTGCTCCTTGTCCTTGTCTCTCGAGCTGGCATTTTACGTCAGGACGATACTTGGAGCCGCCGGCCTTTCCTGTTCCATCTCTGACTCTGACTCAAGGCGGCCCTATCACGTTGAACGACCGAGGCTCTCGTGCGGAAGGAATCGAAGCTGAGACCCTTGCTGCTATCCGGACTCGCAAAGACAAGCCGCGAAACGAGTTGACTGCTTGGCCTTTCCCCGTAGAAGCGACGCGCGTCCAGAGCATGGGAGCACCATCGTTAGCTGCAATCGTTGGGGTTGCGCCGATCATTAGGATCATTCCCACAGTGAAATGTGACTTACACTATCGTACGAAATCAACGAAATTGGGTTTTCGCCGAGGTTGCCCACAACGTAGAACGCCGTAGTCGCTCTATTTCAATATAATCTTGACGGAAGACGATGCTAAAGCGATATTAGGACTGCTGAGCTACCGGTAACCGTTTGGCTTGTGCAAGTGAGCCCACCACGGTCTCTCTCTGTCAGATCTGAGATTCGTTCGTGGCGCCTACAGTACTCGTGTCGCACGGGTACGCACGTCGGATCCACTGCGACGCGGGCAACGCACGTCCATACGACAGCCTCCATGCGGGCGAGGTGGTGCTGCTGCGTCTGCGCTGTGGCGCTCCTGCTTGACAAGCATCATCCAGTTGAAGTAAATATTGCGTGCTTTTAGATTGTCGGGACGTATTTGGCTAATTGCACGTAGCTTTCAATGGCTTATTTTCGGCATTGCTCGAAAATTGGCGTGGGCGAATGGACTTGGTCGAGGTCGAGTACACGGTCGAGTTCCGCAGCAAGAGCTTTGGGCTGCGGCTCATGGCCGCGACCGAGAACGGGTCTGGCGCCGTCCTTGTGGGCTTCACGACGGAGCCCCGCCCGAGCATGCGCGACCTCCCGCCGTTCCGCTACCAGTTGCACTCGCTCGGCGCCATTGCGCTCACGGCGATGCCCTTCAGGACGATTGTGACCACGCTCGCCAAGCATGACACGTACCCCGTCGTACGCATCGCTGCCACCTCGTTGATGCGGCCGCTCACGTCGCGCTAGATGATCCGGTTCATCTCGTGCCCCATGGCGTGCGAGCTCGCGTTCCCGACCAAGCACAAGAAACTCAACCTGATCGTCGAGGAATCGGGTAGGTGCATATCCTCTCTCTTCATGAACCGAAAGAGCATGCAGTCATCTAGGTGATCGGCTGCGTATCACCGAGTACTCGAGGCCGTTCCGGACACAGAGCCCGATCCCAAGCATCGCCCTCGGAAGCCACTACATTGCAGCCATCAATGGCACCGCCGCTTCGACGTCACAGGAGGTACGACCTCTCCAGCATGCTTGCGATGCTGTACAGAGGATGTACATGCAGGCCACTGCGCTCCTACGCACCAAGACGTCGTTTCCAGCCGTACTACGATGCATGCCATTGCAAATGTCCAAGATGCCATCCTCTTGCCCATAGATTGTGCACGTGTCGATCGAGCAAGACGAAGAAAGCGCTGCGATCCAAGCCAGGCTCTTGAGCGGCCGCGCCACGCGGCAGTCCTCGAGCAGCCCGCCACCAGCCAAGCGGTTGCGGCCCTCGGTGGCAGCACCACCGACGCTGCCATCGACGTCGATCGACAACCCAATTGTGCTTTCCGACTCGTCAGACGCCGCAGAGGCCACGCCCTCGGCCCCGGTCTCGAGCCTCTTGACGCGCGGCCAGGCCGTGCGCTCGCTCTTTGGCGTCGGGATCATTCACCATGTTGCCTACAACGCGGCAGCACCGAGCGCGAGCATCGTTACGGTGCACTTGCCCCATGGCGGCCTCGGCTATTTCAACCGGGAAAGCTTGCACTGCGTCGACGAGGTGCCGTGTGCGACGTACATCAAGCGGCGCGCCAAGGTACGCCGCCCAAACGATGCAAGAGACGAGTCGCTACAACGTAGTGGGTCTAGGGCCAAGTCGTCTTGACGTACGGCGACGTGGGGCGGCTCGCTGACGGGCGGCTCTTCAACGACTCGATCTTGGACTTTTACCTAAGGTACACACACTCCATGTAAGCACTCGATACGACAAATGACTGTAGCTATCTGTACGATGCGCTGCCGCTGACGCACGCCACGTACATCTGCAGCTCGTTCCTCTTTGGCACGTTCCAGCAAGCGCGCAAGACCGGGCTCGACGCCGCGCACGCGGCCGTGACGCGCTGGACCAAGGCCGTCGACCTCTTCCAGACCAAGTACCTGGTCGTGCCCATCAACGAGACGTACGTACGTCCATGGCGTAGTACGCCTGATGCGAGTGGGATGTAGCGGTCACTGGAGCGTCGCCATTGTGTGCAATTTGAGCCGGTTTGTCCAAGCTACTGTGTGCAACTGCAGTCTCTTTCGCCCCGAAGTGGTGTGTTCGCCGACGATCTGCACCATGTGCCACCGTCCGCGCGACATGCAGCAAGAGCGGAACGACAATGTGTGCATCGTCATGCTGGACTCGCTCAAGTGCCATCGGACAGCGCGCATCACAAAGTTTCTTCGCGAGTAGGCGTCTCGTACTTACATGTCGCATCGTATGTATGACGAGTAGGTATCTGCAGCTCGAGTGGGACACGACCCATCGCGATGTGCATGGACCGCTGACCTTCAACCAGAAAGTGCTGCCGGCCGTCGTTCCGCCCTGGGTATATCCCGTAACTCCAATGGCATGATGTAGAAGAAATGGTAGATTCCGCGCCAGACCAACAACTGCGACTGCGGCGTGTTTGTGCTGCAGTACGTGGAGCTTTTCTTACGGCGCCCGCCGCGCCTCAATGCCGAGTTTCTTTTGGCCAAGCGCACGAAAGCCGCGGCCGCCAGCCTTTCGCTCGTCAGCAACGAGACGGTGCTCGACGCCACTTGGTTTGACGACGCCGCGATCCCCGCCAAGCGACGGCAACTCGAACGCCTCGTGCACGATCCACGCGTCGTGCAGCTGCATGCGACTCCGTTAGTGGTCGACAGGCGCTCGGCGTTTCCTGTGCCACCAACGACATTGGCTCATGACTCGGCCGATGGTGTCGCAACCGCTTCCTCGATCGTGGAGGAAGAGAAGTCGATGACGCTGCGTGGCGCGTCCTCGAAGGATAACGACGCGATGCTGGACGTACCTGAAACCCACGGGCTCCAGGACGACACGCTCCAGGACGTCGTGAACGGCGCGCGTCTTCTCGTTGTCCACGAAAAGCCGGTCGAGATGAGCCTCGAACCCAGTACCGTACCAGCAGCAGCCACCGCCAATCGAGCAGTATCAAGTGTTGGGGCGCTTGGTGCATCGTAAGCAAATACAAAGCGTCATGTTGCGTAAGGGATGTAGCTACTTGCGGCCCGCGCCATGGTCCTTGACGACGTCGAGAAGCGGGCGCAGGCGCTTGCGAATGTCGAGGTCGGTCACCAAGTCGTCGAGCACCTCTTCTACTTCATGCTTAGCGAGAAGCATCCAAATCGTATGGCAGTAGAGGACCTTGGATGACACGCAGGTCCTGCCGAGCCTCGGCGGTCGCCACATACGCCGTCTACTCGCATACGAGCGTCAGCCCACGCGACAAGCGACGTCACATAACGTACGGGGTGCGTCTGGAAGTCTTCCGAGTCGCAGATTTGCGCCAGCACCTCGGCCGTCACGAGCACGTCGTCGGGCTATCGTCATGCGTTCAAGGTTGAGGAGACCACCCAGCTCCAGTACCGAAAACGACGTGTGGTTGTGCTGCAGATGCCAGAGCACGAGCTCAAACACTTGGCGTTCTTGGAGCAGTGGCATGATGCTACGTAGCAAATGGAAGGTGACGACGCGCCAAGGCTTTTCGTCGTCGATACCGGGACTCGCCAATGTCATCGAGTCGCTTCATGAGGCCATGGAGGTAGTAGAGCACGATGACCTCTTGGCAGTCTTCGAGGTCCTTGGTCTTGAAAAACTAGATGCAGTTAGTTAGTTGAGCGATACGACCAGCATGAAGCGACCTCGGGCTCTTCGTGGCAAAAGGTAAGGACGGACGCAATGTACTCGACCAGCAGCGGAAGGTCCGTCGTCTACCACACATCATGCGCCACAGAGAGGAGGACGATGCTAGTACCTGCAGCGCTTCGACGTGGAGCCATGCGTTCTTGAGCATGACGCCGAGACCGCGCTCAAACTTGAGGAGGAGGTCCTTTGCTTCGGCCTGTACCATGAGAGGAATGAGGAGAAGAAGGGGTATCTTGAAGGGGCGTGTACGTCAAAGTCGCGGCCGAGCGTGTTGCGCTCGTACTCCTTGTACTCGACGAGAAGGCGGAGGCAGAGGTTGAGCTTGCCGTCTTCGAGGATGTACCTGCGCTGCATGAGCTTCTCGTCGTCGTCAAGGCGCTACCGCAATGCGAGCTCTTCGCACTCCCACAAGGTCGCGTTCTCCTGCTTGGGCAGCTGGCGCTCCTGGCATGACGAGGGTGAGGAGGAGGAGCATGATGCTGCGGGAGGTCGTACCATCTCCGAGATCTCGCCAAAGCGCGTCATGTTGTGGGCCATTTCCTTCCACTCGGTCGAGAGAATGGGGTAATCGCCCTGGTAGAGAAACCCCGGGTTTAGTTAGTCGAATGGGTAGAGTTAGTCGCACCAGAAACCGAATGTGGTTGCGGAGGTCGGCTGTGAGCTTGGCTGTGAGCTTCTCGATCGAGTCGGCGTCGCTCGACTTTTCGTACCGGCCCAAGCGCGACATGGTGGATTGCACTCTGGCTTTAGTCGAAACCCACGGTCCGTTTCAGAAACTGGCGGCTTCCAGATTTGGCAACGACACCAGACTCCAGACGACGTGAGCGGGTCCTGCCTCCTGCCTGCTCGTCTCTGCTTGGTCCACTGGGACGCCACGTAATGGATCTCTGAGGACAGGAGGAGGATGGCGCGAGGGTCATTGCATATTGGTCTGCTTAGCGGTGGCTATAACCGTAGAACGACGTTGGCGGCGCCTTGGTGCGCTCGTCGTACGTGGCGGCCGAGGGTGGCGGGCGCGTCGCTTGATGCAGAAAGGGTAGGTACTGCTGCGCTGGCGCCGTCTGTGCGTGAACGCATTGCATGGCCTCGTCGAGTTGCCGGCGCGTGCTGGTCATGAGCGCCATCTCTTTGGCCTCGAGGTCGCGCTGCTGGAGGAGCGTGACGTGGTCGCGGTGCGTCGGGTGGTAGTAAATCTCGAACGAAGCCGCGCGACATCGGTGCAAGAGGCTGTCAAAGTAGAGCTGCATACGGGGCATGTGGAAGCTCGACGTGATCACGCGCACGATACCGACGCGCAAGTGCGTCAAGAGCGGCAAGAGCGTCAGAATGTTCTCGATCGTGTTGGCCTACATCGTGTGTCCCTGCGACTGTACACCAAGGCGGGCCGTACCGCGTTGCAGTCCAAGAGCACGTGATGGGGCGACACGCCGCGTTGCACCAAGTGGTTGCGAGCGACTTCGCACTCCAAGGCGCCTTCTTCGCTGCCGTCGCCGCCGAACGGCACGACGTAGCAGGTTGACCCTTCTTGCTGCACGATCGAGTGGTACAGTGGCAGCGCGGTCTCGATGCGCTGGCTGAGCCATGGCCCCGGCAGGTTCGCGCGGCCCAACGGCCCGCCGAGCACGACGATCGCTTGCGCCTGCTGCAAATGACTCGGCTCGATGCGCTCGCCTTCCGGGATCGTGTCCAAGTTGGGCGAAATCGCGGGGTGCCGAGGCTCGACGTGCGAGGCTTTGGTGCCGGCGCCGTCGACGCGCAAGCCGGACCGGAAGAGGTCGAGGCCCACGGCGGCGAGCAGCTTTGTCTGCTCGCTGCTGCGCTGGTGCGCCCCAGTGACTAGAAGGCGGCCGCTGTCTTGGCGCAGGCCGCTCACCTTGCGAGGTCGCATCCTGCCACCAGCAACGAAATCTAGAACCTCGGATCCTCCCGTGCCGATTTTAAGCCGTCGAAGAATTTATTCCGATTTCAGCATGATTTTCTTCTATCAAGGTGTCAAGTTGCCAAATGCTCTATGTTACTGGCATTGAAATGGGCCAGCTACGTAGGCTCACAAGGACACGACCCGAGATACCCATGCTAGCCAGGGTGTCTCGGACGCCCTGCGCGACCTTGCCACGCTGCCGATTCGACTACGTCAGCGCCGCAACTTGCCCGTCATGGTTTGAGCGCCTCCAGATCCAACAGCCCTCTGCAGTCTGGCCACTACAGCGAGGTTTCGGGGACAACCCGAGGCAGTTGTCGCCGCACGCTGCCCCGTTGCTACCAACCAGGTAGTTCGAGACGTCCTCTGCATCGAGCCGCTCGTCGCCTCGTAGCCAACGAACGGTCGAGACACTTGACGTGGTGTCCTCGCTACCATGTACTACGGACTACTTCTCCTTTTCGAGTTACGAGGAATACGCCACCAACTTGCATCTACCAGTGTAAGGATAGTCTTTTTGGGATTACAGCGTCGGCAGCGGGACCTTGCTGTAGAGCATCACGGGGCGGGACCAGTTCGTTTTGCCGAGCGGTGTCTTGTACGGGAAGAGGTCGCTCAGGTGCTTATCAATGACGTCGACGACCGTGTGCGTGATCTGAATGGCCCTGAAGGACGCGGGGATCGTGTGGTGCAGCCGCTGCAGCCGGCGCGTCGCGGTCTTGTAGCATTTCCACGGCTGCGGTTCTAGAATGAGGTGCGTCGTCTTGGCCGAAACGAGGTTGAGAAAGTTGAGCAAGCCCGCGTCGCCATGGTGTAAGTGGATCCACATGGTGATGCTAAAGCACGAGATGAGATCAAACGTCTTGCCTTCCGTCTCGGAGAGGAACGCGTCGCAGAGCGCGGCGAGGCGCCCGCCCTCCATGACGTCGGCCACTTGAAACGTCAGCGACATATCGGAGGGGGCGAGCGCGGCCGCCCGACCGATGAGCTCGGCATCGACATCGATCCCGAGCGTGCGCAAGTCGACGTTCGAGCTTGTTGGTTCGGCGGCCGTCACCGGTGCAACGGTTGTCGGCGCGTCGTCGGATGGCGAGGCGATGGCGGCCAGCCGCGCGAGCGCCTCGGCGGCGGCTTTGGCCTTGGCCACCTTCTTGGAGACGCCGTCGCCGGCCCCAAAGAAGACGTTGGCGATAAAGACGTGCAACACAAAGTGCTTGCGATGGCCAAACCCGCCGTCTTCGATCGTCACGTACGTGGGGGCGACATGATGCTTTTGGATCGCTTCGTTGAGCTCGCTAATGCTGTCGACCGAGAACGTCGTCGTCGTCGCGGGTGCAACCGGCAGTGCGCCGCTCACGAGCGCTCGGTGCACGGCCTGCGTGAGCTTGCCTACAGCGACGCAGGCTAGGTACGGTCCTACAAGAAACACGCTACCTTCGTTGCAGCCAATGTCAAGGTAGTAGGCGCGCCGCCCGCTCAAGAGGCTGCAGAGACCGGCGCGAACGCTTGGCGAGAGGAACCGGAGCCGCTCCGACTCGGGGTTGAACTCGTAGTAGTCATGGAAGTTGCCAAAGACGTGCTCGACGGCGAGGTCCGCGTCCATCGCGGCCACCAAACTGAGCAACGACCGCGTGATTGGGCAAACAACAGCCAATCAGCGTCGGCCCTGCGAAAGGGCAACTTCAGCTTCAGAATCCTGGACGGGCTCCAACAACACTGGGCTCAGCCGTACTCGACTGTACCACCTCGTGGCTCATCGACGGCCAGCACTGCAGATGCATACAACCACCGCGTCATTGTTGAATGTAGTTATGGGGCGGCGGACGGCTGCTGCGGCGCGCGCTGCGGCATGAGCACGCCGTACGCACCGAGCGGACCCATGGCGGAGATGGACACGCCATGGTTGGCTTCGATATCGGCCGTCGCACTGGCAATGCTCACGCCCTTGAACGCGTCCGAGCCCGTCTTGGCCGCAATCGCCAGCTCGTCCTTGCCATTGACGCTGCCGCGACAGAGAGGCGACGGCGCACTGCACGTGTTGAAGACAACCTTGGTGGACGGCAAAGTGCCCGCCCATGGCTTGGCCAGCATCAAGGACGGCAGCGACACCGACTAGCGACTAAGTGATGAGACGTTGTAGTCGAATTTGACAAAGACGCACCGAGTGGCGGCCAAAGAGCTGCAGGCTCACGAAGTCGATGCTTCCTGCCATGTCGGGGTTGAAGCAGCGGTACGTACCGGACGCGTCACTGGCCGACTTGCAGCCAGTATACGTTTTCTATCCATCGATCGTCCATCTTTTGCTTTCCAGTAACGTGGGGCGTCGTACCGAGGTTGTGTCGAAGGCCGACGCCAGCTCTTCCCACGACAGCGTCAAGCGCGGCGCGTCACCGGACGCTGCGTCCAGCGCCTTGCGGAGCGCTGCCATGTACTTGACTGCTGTCGGGCTATAGTTGGACTTCCAGTCGCCGTTGTTGCTCTTGTCGTTGCCACCGACGTCGACGATGTGCACACCGTCCATCTTGGACCTGGCAACACATATATGAGGCCATGGGACGCCATGTCGGGATCGCAGACTTGGTGACATGGGCGACGACGGAGGCGACAAAGGCATCGATCTTGGCGTCGCTCGTTAGCACTGATGCGAACGACGTCGACGGGTCGCCGATGACGGCGATCTGCTTGATGCAACGCGACCGCATCTCCAGCATGCAGCGCGAGATGCGCGTGTTGGCGTCCGGGAGCGTCGGCTTGACGATGGCGCCTGTCGCCGGATCGAGCGTTGCGGCCGACCACATGATATGTGTGGCGAAGCGCAGATCGGGTTGCAGAAGCAGCTACAAGTACGGTCGCATGAGCCTTCGAGGCCTATGCTACTAGTACGTACGCTGCGGCACTCTTTCGAGGCGTCCCAGTGCAACGCAAAGATGCGGTCCTCGGCGACGAGCGGCGAGCACTGGTAGCAGTCGTTGTGCAGCGGGTCAAAGAACTGACCGCGCGGGCACTTGGATGCCTTATTGCGGAGCTCGCGCCACGTCATCTTGTGGTTGATGGCCATGCAGCCGCCCTGGAGCACATCGGGGTCGTTGAACTGGATGCGCGTGAGGTTGCCCGTGAACTCGTCGAGCCAGCCCTCTTGGTACGAGAAGGCGCCCGAGTAGAGGAGTGTGCCAATGGCAAAGACTACAGGAATGGTATCGCATGAGGTTTGGGTCGATGCAGTACGTCGACGTACGCGCTACAGGCAGCGGCCACCAGTGGAAGCCGGCCGAGTCCTCCGAGATGTACCAGCGCTTGGCCTCGGCCTTGGTCGACGGCAGCTCCTTCATGCTTGGTTGTGGCCAGGTGGCAGAGCCAGCGAGTTACTGTCATTGCAACCCGGCCCCATGAAATATTTTCCCTGGATACATCCTCCATACAAATGAAAGGATATTAATATTCAAAGGAGACTGCTTCGACTGTGTCCGGAGCGACGATATCCGGATTTAGGTACTTTATAAGCGAATTACCACTTGAGTAATATTTCACAGTGGAGCACGCATATATTGAGAATATTGACAGGAATATTTCGCCACGCTGCGCCGATCGCACATGGTGTCGAGCAGACCCGAAGCCAGGAAAGTGGATATGCCGTAGCTCATGCCGTGCCTCGCTATGCATCCTATCTATAGCGGGCATCGCGCTGGGCTTGCCTTCACTGCGAGGCGCGAGACCCGCAGATAGGCTGATGAATATTCAATATATTGACGTCAGAGCGCGCTCAAGGAGACCCTGGAAAGGACGTTTGCGCCTCCTTTCCAACCGACTGAGAGTTGCGAGCACGAGAGTTGCGTGGTCGGTCGTCCGCTGGTGCGCTGCGTGTTTT